CATCCATTTCTGGTGTCTTAAAGGAAAAGAAATATGGTTCAAGTTCATGTCTCTTGAAAACTTTGAATCTTCATTCAAATGTTTTTTATATGAAGAAATATTCCTAATTTGTTTGTGAGAGAAAGATTTTTGGTTTAGAACTGAAATTTCAGTTTATGTTGCATTTTAGCTTCTTGACTGCCATGTGGCTATTGCGATAACTTTAACTGTTATATTCTATTCCACTCATAAGGAACTATACAAACCTCATTTTAAATAAGATGATGCATAATCATTTTAACATTCATAATCTTTATTAGTGAGTGAAAAAGCAATTTGATATTGAATGACAACTCTGTAAGACTCATTTTGGTGAAGCTTAATGGATATTTTTTTCCTTGAAACTGCTTACTCATCAATGGATTATTGACGCCATTTGATAATTGATAATCAGAATAACATCTGTTCTGTGTTGTATAATGATAACAAGAATGAATGGTAAAGCCAGCTTCTAATGGTTCAGTATTGTTTATTTAAAACAAAAGAGGTCCGTATGAAATTGATGGTTGAGTTGTTTAGGTGCTTCTTCTTTTTTTTTTTTAATTTTTAATTTTTTGTCAGTTTATGTTGTTTATGTTCATTTTGTGTCTCTAGCCTCAAAATATAAATTTTGGTATTAGAGAGGCTTGAGATCTCAATGAATTTATGGATAAATGACCTTTCAAAATCAACTAGAAGATTTCATTCTCCTTTAACATTTAAATGTTGGGTTTTGTGATTTTGCCTAGAACAAGAACCTTGTGACAGTGACTGGTTGTGAGACTTAACTTTAGGATGTGAATTTAAATTGTATGCCCAATGCAACAGAATACTAGCCAATTCTGGTATAAACTTGTCAGCTCATGGTAGAATTGCCCCACCAGTAATCAATCTCATATCTCAAACAACTAAGTTGATTTTAACATACACAAACAATGTTATAGTTATTTCTTTCACGGCTTTAACTACAATAGATCAAATTCTTTTGTAGTCGTAGTAATTCTGAATGCACAGTCTTTGTGTAGAACCCAATAGAAGAGAAGAGCTTGACTGGAAGAGGAGGTTCGACATAATATGTGGCATTGCTCGGGGATTGCTTTACCTTCATGATGACTCACATTATCGCATCATCCACCGAGATATCAAGGCCAGCAACATTTTACTGGACAAAAAGTGGATCCCTAAAATTGCTGATTTTGGCATGGCCTGCCTCTTCCCTGAGGATCAGACACATGTCAACACCCGGGTAGCTGGTACCAGGTATGTTCTTTGACATAGTTTAAATTCATGTGACCTTTCTGTAATCCAGTTCCTCCTCACATTGTATCAAAGGTGATGACTTCTTTTTACTAGTATATAACGGTGGATATATGGCACCAGAGTATTTCATGAATGGTCAGTTATCTGTGAAGGCAGACGTGTTCAGCTTTGGGGTTTTGGTTCTGGAGGTGATTAGCGGCCAGAGAAACTCGACCTTCAGTTCGCATTCTGAATCACAAAGTCTACTGGAGTGGGTAAGGGGGTAAGAACCATAAGATGTTCTTGGTCACTGTATGCTGTGCTAATATTTGTTGCTATAAAATCTTATGAGCTGAACTGAAATTTTTATTCCATTTTTATGACTGCTTAAAAAGATATAGGTTAGCAAGAAATGCTAGATTAGGCTTGAAAATGTTAGTAACTTTGCATATCTTTTGTGCTTTTTGCTTGCAGGCATATAAGCTCTACAAAAAAGGAAGGAGCTTGGAAATGATGGACTCTGCTATAGCAGCATCAGCAGTCCTGGAGCAAGTAGCTATGTGCATCCAAATAGGATTGCTGTGCACCCAAGGCGATCCCCAATTACGACCCACAATGCGACGTATAGTTGTGGTGCTATCAACGAAACCTGGCAATTTAGAAGAGCCAACCAGGCCTTGGGTTCCAGGCTCGCGATATAGGAGATCCCGCAGACCTCCTGGAACGTCATCCACTCCAGGATCTTCCACTGCAGGCTCTTCTGGTGATCCAAGACTTCCATTTCTTATCTTCTTCTTAATTATTTTATCATTATTATTTTTAATTACATATAATGTATTAAATTAAAGAAAGAGGAATAAAAACTGGTTTTTATTAAGATAATAACAAATTATAAGATTATAATTAATACAAAGTAATTATTTTGTGCAATACTAAAGATTTTAAATGATCCAAATTTATTTTTATCATTTTAAAATTATATAATTTTTCTTTTCACATTTCTTTTATATAAAAAAATCTTATGATGAATTAAACAAAGATAGATATGTAAGAGTATGGAAAGTAAAGGGTTGTGAATATACAAAAATTCAATTATGATTCATTTAAGTAATAAAAAATGTAACTTCAATGAAAATTATTATATTAGAGTTGATAATAGA